CCTTTAATCGGAGGCAGGAAACATAGCCTTATATGGTGTTTTTGGGGTGGTAATTATGCTAATCTCCTCTCGCGTGCACGAGCAGCTGGATACGAACAGGTGGAATTTACGCAGCTCATTTACGCACTTTTCCTGAAGATAGAAGAGTTTGTTGAATCTGACGTGGCATGTTCGTACGAACCCTTTGTTCAAACAAAAGTAAGAAAAATTTAGGGTAAGAATATGAACATGTTCTTGCATGAGGCCCAATGTTTCTCACAGTGGAGACTGAAAGCTGAAATCTCTGAGATAGCTTTCTGTATCCTTCCCCTAAACCATGACGGTGAACAATCTTTGTTTTCAGCTCATTTGAAATTTGTTTTCAGACTCCCATTCTGCGAATCTTCAGAGAAGATGCAAAGAGGAGAAAAACGTACAATTGCCCCCCTTAAATGCCCTTTCTCTTAATTGGAGTCACCTGTGTATGGAGGCCAAGGGTCACTGAACTTACCAAACCAAATTTAAGTTCCAATAATTAGTTCTAAAAGTTTTTAAATCAATAAAATGACAACAGTGCCCAAATTTATGCACCTGCCTAATTTTGTTCAACCCTTGCATTGCACACTTTCTGTAAATCATATCAACTTCATTTCACTTCTCAAATATCACTGTGTTTGTCCTCTATATTATATATTTAACTGATATTTTTAATCCAAACAATCAATGATTCATAAAGGTAAATCAGGAAAATTAACAAGGGTGCCCAAACTTTTTCAATGAATATACGTGTATTTTCCTGGCACTTGGAACAAAGCTAGGAGTGTGCTGAAGAGTCCAAAATCAGCAGTTTTATGAGGATAATTGGTGATGTTTTTAAACTTTGTGTTAAAGGGTTTTGAGTTATTTTTTTTGTGAGAATACCTGTGTATCACAGGAGTCTAAAACAATAGAATTCATTTTTATTGTTCCATCTACTGCTCGCAGTTTGTGGTGAAGCAAGAAAGAAAAAGTCTCAGTGCTCCCTATTTAAGTGGCATTTTATTAAATTAAAGTAATCACAGCAACAAACATATGTAAACTTGGGGCTAAATATGAACAACTGAACATTAGAATATGTTAACAGGAATTTAAAAATTAGCTTAAGATGTCATAGTTAATGGTGATTTGGCCTAAAGTGCACTTCTGGACACTGAAGTTCTAAAAATTAACTTACTTTAAATAAAAAATAAAGTTCATTTTAGTGCTACTGAGTCTTAAAAATCAGTTCATTAAAATGATTCATGCAAAAATATTTGTTCACTGGATCATTCAGTTCATTTGTAATACTTATTCTATAATAATAATAATAATAATAATAATAATAATAATAATAATAATAATAATAATAATAATAATAATAATAATAATAATAATAATAACAATGCAGTTAAAACTGCAAGCCGTGAAAAAGGACCTTTGAACATTGGGGTGATACTGGGCCATGCATACGTCCAGCTGACGCTTATATCTGGCCCATTGATTTTTGCACGTACGATGTAACATTCCTGACAGGCTGTGTTGTGGAGGCAGGGCTGTAGAGCAGCAGAAAGCATGGTTCCACAAACAGTAACTATATGTTTTCTTTCTTAGGTGGATTCTAAAGCACAGGCTGAATTAAAGGAAGGGATGAAGGTTTATAACACAGAAGCAGCTCTGAAACAGTCTTGGGACAACGTTCAGAAAATGGTGAGCAGATACATCACTTAGAGTCACATGTTGGACTTATTCAAAGTTAGAGTAACTCTCCTGTCTGTCTCTCTGGTTCCAGTTCAAATGCTGCGGAGTGACCAACAAAACAGACTGGTATGATGTCCTGAACGGGACACTGCCCTCGTCCTGCTGTCCTGTTGGCAAGGACCGCTGTGTGGGCTGGAGTGAGGTTGGTTTCTATAGGAGGACACTGCTCGTTTAGAGAGACAGCTCAATTTATTACACATAAAACAGGTCACACCTACAGAGCTACAGATGTTAAGATAACATTTAGTGGAGTGTAGAAGAGGAATATTCTTCTTTCAGCTGTTCCTTCTTCAGGGGTCTCCACAGCTAGTCATCCTCCTGTGTCCTCTGTCCCCACTCTGTCCTCACTTCAACTACCCCCATGTCCTCTTCGACATATACCAATACAGCAGAGATGAGTGCAAGTCTTTTTTGCAAGTCCAAGTCAAATCTCAAGTCTTTGGCTCCAAGTCCAAGTCTTTGACCAAGTTTCAAGTCTCTTGACCTCAAGTCCAAGTCTATTTGCATGTATTACTTAAATGGCAGTTTGATCAAAAGTATTCCAAATATACTAGATTATATTCTATAATACTATATTTTATTAAAATATTAAAACATAGGATTATGTTTTAATAATACTATTAATGCTGTGTAATACTATTAATAAACTGTGTTTTAAAAATACAGATAAGGTTAAGGTTGAAATGACAATCAAGCATTTAGAGTATTGTTAACTGTATTTTGCACTTGTAGTCTTACAAAAGCATATTGTAATTATATTCTCCCATTGACAAAGAACAAATCCAACAAGTTTGCTGCTGATTTTACAATAAAATACCAGAAAATTTTTTAAATGCATAAAAGCATATCAGTGAAGATGATGAACCAGAATCCTTAAAGTAAAAGGGCTGCACAAGTCATCAGAAAAACAAATTTTGGATTTYGACTCCACACACTTTACATTTAGCCAGTCTCTTGTCATGGCGTTGAATAAAGTCTCTGTAAGCAAAGCTTATGATGAATGCCTGCCATGCTGAAGCTCTGTTTATCAC